GATGCACTCTAGTCGTTGTCCAACCTGCTTCATCTTCCTAAGCTCTTCTGTGTGCCATGGTTTATGGTTAGAAGCAGGTTGGAAAGGACACTTGGGAGCTATTGTGTTGATAGTCTTGGCGAGATTGGTGTTGCAGGTATTAACCAAAGCTTCGACAGAATCACCGGCGTTGACAACCATTAAACCCTCTAAAGCTTTCTGGAATCCAATTGGTTCCATTAGCCTTCAAGGGTGGACCAGAAGAGGTTTGCCATTGCCTTCCCCTGAATCTGTGAACATGAGACTTGTCCAAGGTCACCCACTGGGTTCCATGGTTGAGTGGGGAATCAAACCCTGATCTTCAGAGTCGTAGTTTCCACTCAATTAATTAATCAGGAGGGACTGGAGAGGAGGGTCAGAAACTTTATCTTTTCAGTGGACTCAGGCAAAAACAAACTGTTGCAGACTTTCCTAGCTTGTCTGTTTTTTCCTCAATAACTTTTGCCATCTTGACCATACTCTGAGGTTGCATGGCCACACGTGTCCCAGTTTTCAAATGTCGGATGGTATGTATCTGAGGTCTTAAGGATCTGTTGCCAAAATACCTGCATGGATTCAAAGACAGAGTGAATATGAGGTGACTTCACATGTAACACATTTCAAGCTATTAAGGATTTTCCTAATTTTTCAAGATCCCATATATTGCAGGATTAGTCTACAATTCTGCACCAACAACTTTTTGCCAAATGAGAACCTGCACCAAGTGAAACCACTGGTCTGTCTCAGAACTGAGAAGAGCTGTAGGATTTGGGGGACTACAGTTCTCAGAATCCATGATGGCTGGAGGATTTGGGAAGTTGAGAGCCAGTGTGGTGTAGTGGTTTAAGTGCTGGACTATGACTCTGGAGATCAGGGTTCAAATCCCTGCTTGGTGATCTTGGGCAAGTCACACTTTCTCAGCCTCAGAGGATGGCAAAGGCAAACCCCCTCTGATGAAACTTGCCAAGAAAACCCTGTGATAGGTTCACCTTCAGGCCTCCATAAGTCAGAAACGACTTGAAGGCATACAACACACACACAGTCCAAGTAGCTTGGACCATTTAGCTGAGCATTGCCCACAGAAAGAGTGGGGAGTATATAGGACTATCATTCCCATAAGCATTTAGCATTGACCATATAGGCTGGGGCTTCTGGGAATCAAAGTCCAAAACATTTGGAGGCTCAACATTTCCTCACTCCTGGCCTACACCGATTAGGAGGGCCTTTCTATATTTTCATAAATGTATCTTTCCTAGGCCACCCTAGAAATGCCAGAGGTTGAACTTGGAACTTTTTTACATGCAAAGCATGTGTTCTGCCAATGAGTTACAGCCTTTTTTGTTCCTCAGTGGCATCTTTGCAATTTGCTATGATCAGGCCCTGGGTTATGTCCCAGTAAAGTGGCAGTCCTGCAGTGCATTGCAATTTAGCAGATTATATACTACCCTGTAAATGGATAATACATGGCTCTGGGGAGCATTACCATAGTTCAGACACTCATGTAAATATATACTGCTGGGTTGGAATGAAACATATCTTATATGGTAAAACAAGTGACGGCAGAGGGTTGTATTTAGGCCATGTGCTCAGCTCTCTTGTTCTCTGAGTAAACATTTTACTTTTCTCTGCTTCCAGTTCACAACCAAAATAGGAGAGCGCTGTCTAAAATTAACCAAGGCTTTTTCATCTTCAAGACATTTGGATTTGTAATTTCAAGCATGGCCCCGTATGTATGTGTGTGTGTGTGTGTGTACATATGCATGAAAGAAAGAGAAGGAAGAGGGTTTTCTGTCTTCCTTGCAACAAACTCCCAAGAATTTCTGGGCTTGCTGCCCTTAGCTAGATCAACAGGAGGCCCTTCATAAGTGGGAAATGTTTTTTTTCCCTCTATTTATCCTCTTTTTTGTAACTTTCAAAATACGTTGGGTGAGGTTCCACTCAACAAAGTTTGTGAGAAGTATCAGTTTAATGGTTTGGACCTCTGTTATTACAACAAAAGCTCCCCTCGGCTGTGGAATTTTGAACATATTTTGATTGGGATGAAAGTGGTAACAAGGATGGAATAGATCAGAACATCTCAGATAGCAAGCCAAAACTCCCACATTAATGCCTTCAATGTGCCATTATCATTCCTTAGTAAACTTAAAATAGCAGCTGGAATCCTTCTGGTAATGTACACATGTTTAATTTGGGATTAAGCATGATATAAAGAGTCAGCATGGTGTAGTAGTTTGAGTACTGGACTACAACTCTGGTGACTTGGATTGGTTGAGCATAAGATTTGATTCCCCACTTGAGCATAAAAACCCACTGGGTGACCTTGGGCAAGTCACATTCTCTCAGCCTCAGAGGATGGCAATGGCAACCCCCTTCTTTCAGGTATGGTTTCAACCCTGAATCTTCTGCATTTTGTCCTTTAAATGTTCAATTTTAGAACCTTGTCTGGTTCCAGCTGTGTCCCAGACATATCTTTTGGGGCAAGGGTGTGCCATGTTTGGCTCTTGAACTTGTTTCACAGAATCCTAATTTCAGTCTCTGTCAACAAGTCATTTGTTTGGACTTCTGAACCTTCCTCAGCACAGATCTTATAACCATTGACCAGGATCCTATTGGGCTCTATGAATGTGTAACCAAGAATTACGCATTTGTGACTGCTTCATATATACAATCCCTATGTATCCCCTCATTTAGGGGACACATAGGGATAGGGACTGTGAATGTCCCCTAATCACCACTTACTGGTCGCAGCTACTGCACTAAACAAGGATTTGTTCCCTTGCTGATCAAGAAGCAGCCAAATGATGGTAGCTGACTCTGCATCGCAGAATTAACAGAGTTTGCCACTGCTTTAACTTCCATGGCTTAATGCTATGGAACTCTGGGATTTTTAGTTTTGTGAGATATTTAGCCTTCTGTCAGAGCTCTGATGTTACAGCAAACTACAAATACCAGGATTAAACCATGCCAGTTACAAATGATGTCAAACTTCATTAATTCTGCAGTGTGGTAGCAGCCTTTGACAAAAAATTGGCATTTATTACATTGCTATGCAACTACTATGGCTATGTAACAACTAATGCATAGAGAAATCCAGCAATTCTTTTTAGACTACAGCTCCCAGAATCCCCATGCTGGCTGTCTAAAGGAAGAGGTTTTATGACCATCACTCAAGGATCCTGTGGGCCATGTGGTTGTCTCTAGCACTCAGGTTTTGGCCTTGAATTCTCAGAGCCTGGTAAAGTCCTGATCTTGCTGCCCCAATGTAGCTGCACATCTGGAATATGATACTGTGCAAACTGAATAACCAATAAGCTGAGGACTGGGGTTGAGGAGTGCTGGAAAGGAAAGATTTGTTAGTGACCCTGCTGGCTGGAGGATTATGGGATTTCTAGTCCAAAAGGTAACTTTCCCAAGCTCCACTTCACTCCATTTTTCCATTCTTAAATGGCTGTCATAAGAAAGATCTGAACTGGAGAGCAGGAGATAATTGAATGAAAATGGTGTGGTGCATGGGTTTGGAATACTAAAAGGAATTTCTTTAGGGTTTGGATGTATACGTGTGCGAGAGACAGCCTGTCTCTTTCAGGGCTAGGAAAGTGGGTGTGCATAAATGTGTGCATGTATATATAAATGGAACTGAATTGTTCAAAACTGATAGTAAGGCTTTAAAGGGATTAAGGAAGGAAAGGATAAGAGAACAAAGAGGTGGAGCGAGGGAGGTGCATTCAGAGCATAAGCTGCCCCAAGCCTAGGAAGGAAGCATAAGGCTGAAATGAATAAAATCCATACAGAGCTCCTCTGTGGAAACGTGTGAGTCTGAGCGGAGATTTTGGCTGAGAGCCTAGAATGAAATGAACTTTCCCCTACAATGTGTAAGGGAACTTTCCATGCGCACAAGTGCGGCTCTGTCAATTTAACTTCTCAAAAAGAAGAGCTGTCTGGTCCTCTTGGCAGACGTTTCTTTGGGTGACATTATTATGCTGGGATGTTATCTTTGATTTGCAAAGAAAGAAAGATTTTTAAAAAATCAACAACACCCAAACCCACACTATTTTCTCTTTCCAGTAATTGAGAAGACGGTGCAGTTTCTAGCATTTCCGCTCAAAGTCATGCTGCCTTTTCTTATTATTCCCTCCACCCCTTCTCTACAGATCTTGCTGTTGGTGAAGGCAGAGGTTGTCCTGTTTTTGCCTTTGCTGACACCTGCTGATCAACCTGAGAGGTTAAGCTTTTGCTAAGGGCTGGGCATCAAGGTTGGGAAAGATGCCAAGTGATCCAAATCACAGCTGTCTGAGAGCTCTTTAACCATATCCATCAACATTGCACAGATGAAAACTGGGGATGCATCTTCACTACAGAATTAATGCACTTTGACACCACTTTAACAGTCATGGTGCAATGCTATGGAAATTTGGGATTAGTAGTTTGTTATGCCACCAGAACTCTCTGACACAGAAGGTGAAATATCTCACAAAATTACAAATCGCAGAATTCAATAGCATCGAGTCATGGCAGTTAAAGTGGTATCAAACTGCATTATTTCTGCAGTGCAGATGCAATCTGGGACACACATCGCCCAGCAACATCAGAATATGGTCAAGAAAGCAAATGTTATCAGTGAGGAAGAGCAGACAAGCTAGGAGAGGCAACAACAGCAAGCCAGAGCTGGGCCAGGCAGGGACTCACCATCCAGCCCACCCGCCCTTCTACACCTGGGAGCCCATGCAGACCAGAGCAGAGGCAGAGTGGAGGGCTAGTTAGCCTGCTTGAACCCTCAGAGCCCAACAGTGGCAAGCCAGAGCCAGGCCAGGCGTGGACTCATCATCCAGCCCACCCACCCTTCTACACCTGGGAGCCCATGTAGACCGGAGCGGAGGCAGAGCAGAGGGCTTAGCCTGCTCAAACCCTCAGAGCAGAGCCCAACAGCAACAAGCCAGATCCAGGTCAGGCAGAGACTCGCCATCCAGCCTGCCTGCCCTTCTACAGCTGGGATGCTGACCTGGCTTGCTTCACAGAAACCTGGCTGAGAGAGAATAGTGCCATAACTTGGACGCAGGCCCTCCCCGCTGGGTATGTTGTTAGTGAACAGGTAAGAGGAAGTGAGCAGGGGGGCAGAGTGGCTCTGATTCACAAAAGTAACCTTATCTTGATCAGGATACCTGTCCGGGACACAGTCCACTTCGAGTACATGTGCCTGAGCCTGAGGACCAAGGATAGTTTGGGGATTCTGCTAGTATACCATCCACCCCGTTGTCTAGCAGACTCCGTAACCAAGCTGACACAGCTGGTCTCAGAGTTGTTGCTAGATTCACCCAGACTTCTAGTTCTGGGCAACTTCAACATCCCTCTCGAGACCAGTTTGACAAATCTAACAGGTGTGGCTCAGGAATTCATGGAATCCATTACAAACATGGGCCTATCCCAATTGGTCATTGGGCCCACTCATTGTGCGGGTCATACACTCGATGTGGTCTTCGGTACGGAACAGGAATATCCGTGGGCGGAGATTATAAAAGCCACCACTCTGTCATGGATGGATCATTTCCTGGTCAAGGCTGAGCTAAGAACCACTGTCCCCCACACTGGGGGTGGTGGACCTATTAGAATGGTCCACCCTTGAAGGCTAATGGAACCACTTGGATTCCAGAAAGTCTTAGAGGGTTTAATGGTTTGCAACGCCAATGATTCTGTCAAAGCTTTGGTTAACACGTAGAATACTAATCTTACCAAGGCTATTGACACAATAGCTCCCAAGTGTCCTTTCCAACCCACTTTAAACCAGAAACCATGGTAAACAGAAGATCTGCAGAAAATGAAGTGGATTGGACAATAACTAGAGCGCACCTGGTGGAAAACTCGACTCTTATCTGACAAGACTCATCATAGGAACTTTCT